TGATGATATTGATGATGGTGATGATGATGATGATGATGATGATGATGATGATGATGATGATGATGATGATGATGATGATGATGATGATGATGATGTATCTCTCTTTCCAGAAGGCTTGAAACCAAAAAGTAACTCATTTTGTCAGCACGCCTCACAACTGTAGGAGCTAGACAGATATGTATCGCGATGCCACCAAGACGATGACGCGGATGGGCCAATAATCACATTATCAGAGACGCGGGGTGGGTGATTGGCGGGTGCTCTGGTGTGGTTTGCTTCTTCTTTTCTATCAAACATCTATCGTCCTTATCTCACCTCCTCCTTTTTTGTGTTTGTTACTCTCTTGTAACACCTAATCTATTCTTCGGCACTTATATGACCTTATTGTGTTGCAAGTGCCGTAAAACTCTTACTAAAACTAAATTACGCTTTCATAGACAGAATTGAGATATTTGAGGAAGCAAACTCTGACCCTAGCTATAAGGGCCAATCTATCCTGAGAGGGATACAATGTCCAAACAGGAAAATCAAATACTCGCACACTTTCCCTTTTGTTTGTTAGTTGTTTCAGTAGAGGTTTTACGGCGCTCGCAACTGCATAAGGTCATATGAGCGCCAGAAGACTAGAGTTGTTACAAGAGAGTAACAAACATAAAAAAGAAGGAGGGGAGATAAGGACGATAGATGTTTGATAAGAAAGAAGGAGCAAACCACACCAGAGCACCAGCCAACCACCCACAATCTATCCTGAGAAGGGTACAATGTCCAAACAGGAAAATCGAAATATTCGCACACTTTCCCTGTAGAGAAATCAAACTCCGGCCTTCTACGTGCCACAGCGAAACGCCTCCCCGCCACACGCCACACGGCACTGACGTCATGTCTAAATCACGACGAGAACTGTGTACTACGTAATCTAATGCACGTTCCAGAATGTTCCCCGAACGTACCGAGTAACCGATTGACCAGAAGAAATGATGGCAAGCTGACAAGATGAGCCAGACGAATGTAGACTGTGTACCCCCCGGGGACAGAGCACGAGGCAGTCATCTGTGAAAGCGTAAGGAACTTGGGACGCTGCGGTGTCAAGTTATCGTGATTTCGTTTGTGAATGGAACGGAGATTCTGACAACCAGCA